TGTACAACACCAGGTTCAACCTACCGCCTCCTCTGCTATCTGCTATCTGTCCTACTGAAAGTCTCCAGGAGGACGCCAAGACAGAGTACAAGTGTGCCCAACTGCCAAAGAGGCCTCCAATCAATAATGCACTTACACATATGCAAAAGTCCAGTTTTCTTACTTAATATTAAACCAATAAAGTAAAAAACTAGGCAAATGAGGAACACCTTTAAGTGTCATGCTGAATCACAGCATGGAGTATATTTTGAACAATGAGTTTTAAAGGCGTAAGTCTTACCCATTGATACTTTGTGGAACAGATTCACAGATTTTACCAGATATCTGAGAACAGACTCTGATTTACTACAAATGAGAGGGGTAAAGTGTTTAGCACTAATAGGAAGGATGGTCAGTTATGCCATAATCTCTCCTAAAGGCAAGAGAACAAAAACTGACAGTGTGCCTCAACATGTGAAAGACACAAAGAAGGAAAAATCAATTTATCAGTAAGATCATGGAGACAAAATGATCAAACAGGAAAGAACATCTGGACCAGTGAGCTGATCAGTTATAAAAAGTGATTTTCATATGTGAGAGGGGAAAATGTATTTCATGACTGGTTTCTAATGAAGGATAAAGAAAACCTATTGCATGAGACCAAATATTAGTCTTGCATTCACTGAACAGAATTTTGAGCAATTTTGAGAAAGAACTACTGCTATTTCAAGTGATTACAGTGCTAAAATAAATTACTTTTAGCCAGACAAGGATCTCATCATAGTTTGAATTCCCTGTGGTGTCATTTCATGTTATATTTGAGAAATTCCTCAATAAAAATGTCAAACAGAAGGTGAGTTGAGTTCCCCTAAGGACAATTTTGGACATTTTCCAGTACAAATTTTAGCCATGAATTCTTAACCAAACACCTCCTCCCAACAAATAAATAAATAAGAAATTTCACTTGATTAGAAAGAAAGAGAGAAATGTTGGAACAAGAACTCAAGAACAAACACTTTACCTGTCAACTGCATCTGATCTAATTAGCTGTGAATACTCTAAGTTTGTTATTTATAATGATGACTACAATCATCTTGCTATACTGATGTTACTAGAAAGACATTCATAGAAGGTTTAAAAAAGGAATGTAAACCCTGACAAGGAGAAATGGCTTAAGATTTTGCATAGACTTCAGTCAAGCAAGAGATGCAGAAATCCTAGTATAACGGTCTAGTCCATTGCAACCTGTTTCCTAGAGGTTCCTAGATGGCCTCCAGGACTATCAGTGAACTATCATGGGGTTCCATAGCTAGGCCTTCTATGTAAAATCACTAGACAAAGATTTCTGGTGATGTGTGCATGACAAAATGCAGCCCAAGTCACTGAGAGACCAATTCAGCTGTCTAAACATCAGAGTCAGATGCCATTTTAGATGGCACCTTATATTATCCCATCTAGCCTCTATCTCACACTCCCGGTCTACTCCTGTAGCTCTCACATTGCACCTTCCAGCACCAGGCTCACTGGCACGAGGCTCCTATGTTTAGGCAGTTGAATTGCCCTATAGGATTTCTTGATGCCTGGCTCCCCATGTGCTGACAAAATGGACCCCAAAAGTAATGCCTGGAAGGCCAAAGGATGGGTGAGAAGTAGGAAGAGTGTGGCCTGATATTGGATCACTCCTAGGAAATCTTCTATCCAAGCACACACACATCCATGGTGCTATATGAGCAGGAGGTTCAGGCAGGGTTTTTAAAATCAACATATTTTGTGTTTTATCAGCTCATCTACAAATTCTATGTAAAAGACATAGTTCTAGACAAGAGCCACTACAGCCCTACTTAGTGCGTATATAGACTTAATTTCAGCATATTGAATTAGCAATCTTGATTTTGACAGTTCTGTTCCATAAGGGTGTGTGCGTGTGCACTGAAATCAATGAAAGACTGTCTTGAAAGGTGAAAATCATTGTAATTAATCTTATGAAGAATTCTTTGTCTCCTTATAATGCATGAAAAATAAGTGATTTCTCAAAAAGCAAGAACAAGTGGAAACCAGTGGACTCATTGAAACTTTAATTCCTTTCAATGTCTAATTTCCTCACGGAGAAAAAAAAAAATCTTTGGAATAAGTTAGCCAAGTTTTAGGAAAACTTTCCCCAAAGTTATAATCCTAATTTAAACAAGTGCAAATACAAGGTTTGTTTTTGATTTGAGATCTCACTGCTTCCTCTTAAAAACAGCCAACTGCATTTGTACTTTTCTACTAGCGTTAAGTGAAGGGAAATACAACTACTCCAGAAGGAAAAAGAGTAGAATGTCCCCTTTTTCAAAACTCACACCGTGCTAATGGGCAAAACCAGGCTATCCCAGCAGTCAGTATAACTGATAATGCCAGGAGCTAGTTAGGGACCAAATGATGACAGAAAAATGAAGTTATCTCTTTCCTAGTGACAGTGTGTCAAATCAGAGCTAGTGCACAACAGACAGTGACAGCAGGATTTGCATGGCCACTGTCAGGATTAAAAAAAATCAGTCTTAGACCTCACAACTAGACACTTTCATCTTCAGAAAACTCACCCCTATTTTAAAAAAGGGACAAAGAGGAATGTGCCTTGATTCCCTTTTCATTACCCATAAGTAAAAGCAGTTATTTTACTAAGAAATATCACAGACCATTCATTAGTTGCAAATATTCAATCTGCATTTGAGGAACAGAAACTTCCCCAGTCCGTGCTATCAAAATTAGAATGGCAATTGTGACCTCTTTTAGCATCCTAAAGTTGTAGACTGGGAGAAAAGGAGCCCTTTGCTGTTATTCCCACTCATCTTTTCACCGAACCTCTTTTAAAAGCAACATGGTTCCTAACATTTTTGGGGTAATGCAAAAAGTCAGCTCAGAGTAGACCATGAATATGTGCAGACACCAATTCTTAAAAGCCTGAAAGATCTCTTAGCAAGCTTTGGATCAACAGTAGCCACATGTTAAGCACAATGGTTTATATTATTGTAAGCCTTTTTTTTCCCAAAAAAAAGCAAGTGCATTTGAGGAACAGAAACTTCCCCAGTCCGTCCCCGCTATCAAAATTAGAATGGCAATTGTGACCTCTTTTAGCATCCTAAAGTTGTAGACTGGGAGAAAAGGAGCCCTTTGCTGTTATTCCCACTCATCTTTTCACCGAACCTCTTTTAAAAGCAACATGGTTCCTAACATTTTTGGGGTAATGCAAAAAGTCAGCTCAGAGTAGACCATGAATATGTGCAGACACCAATTCTTAAAAGCCTGAAAGATCTCTTAGCAAGCTTTGGATCAACAGTAGCCACATGTTAAGCACAATGGTTTATATTATTGTAAGCCTTTTTTTTCCCAAAAAAAAGCAAGTGGCTGAATAGAAATTAATGAAAAGAAAATTAGAAATTTGGCTATTCCTGTAGATCCAGACTGTATGTTTGATGACCAGAGAGCAACGACGCGGGCAGCAGGGGTCCAAAAAAATCCCACAGATTGCCTGAAGGGTTCATTCTTTATCAAGTCATTCCTTTTGCTCTTAATAATTGCTAACCTACTTTTCCCTACTACTATGGGAATCATTTGGAAACAAAGTTGAAAATAGCAAGCTGTTTGAAACAACATAAACGCACAGTTATTTGAATTCCAAATAGTTCAACTATTTGATTATGCTTGTGTCTTGTTTTATTAAGAGATATTTATGAACATTAGTCTAAATAGAATTTTTCTTTCTTTTTTAAATGAATGGCTGGCTACTTTTTGTATAAGAAATATATCTTGCACAATTAATCATTTGACCACCTCAGTTTGAGGCAAATAAATCTATTTAGTCTGTTCTATAACAAATGAAATTTGAAAGTTTAGGTCAAAAGTCTGTCAATGGTCAGGATATATAATCCATCTGAACAAATATTATTCAGATTGAAAATGAACCCAGCAGGAAATACGTCTACTGAAAAGCTAACCAAATCCTTGCTCAGAAATTCTAGTTGTTCCATAGCTTCAGTGAGTGCAGACTGGTGCTACTGGACTTTATTATTTCTGGTTCACTACCTGAGTGCTTGATTTTTGTTGCAAAGAATCTCAGTTTTTACCAAAGAAAAGTGTGGCGTGACACAGAAAAAATACCTATTTTCCACACTGTTTTATAAACATCAACTCGAACCAAACATTGGTCATTGCATTTATATTGGGAATACTGAGAAAGATAGTCCCTAGGCAGAAGGATTTAGCTAAAATGACCACCAAGAAAGCAGGTATGGGAAACTGGGTCTAGCAGTCAAAGTTAATTTCCAGATAACTGGTGTGAAGAAATTTCAAAAACAAAACATATACTTTTTTAGTGCATAGGATAAACCCAACCTATTTAAACCAGAACAATGGACATGTATCAAAAAACCCCCCAGATCGCAAAATCCTCAGACTGCTGAAGCAATTAAGTGCCGGCTCTGAACACAGCTCTGTACAGTTGGTGGACTGTGTCCCTCCTCTTTGTAAACAGGTATTACTGATAACTGTTTCTTCTGCCCTGTTTTATTGTCCAAGTATTCCCTTCATCACACTTGCACTTTTAACATTATGTAATTTATGTTCATACAGCTTATCCTAGAATTAAGTTACCCTGAAAGGGAAAAAAAGGGAAGGGGGTCTTTAAAGATATAACTGGAATTACAAAAGTTGGAAGAAACAGACAAAATATATTTAAGTGGATGGGACAGATCACTTTTCTTTAAAAAAGCCCAGATATCCAGAATAGATTCTGGGGGCCAGGGTGTGGTTTTTTTAGCAATGTTAAAGATGGTCAAATTTATTTGAGTATGTTGGGATTAAGTGCCAACTTCAAGGGTCTGGTCTAAAACACACGGGAGTCAACAGATAGGTTTGAACTTATTCAGTGTGATCTGGATCAAGTCTTTACTGAAAACATACCAGCTCACAAAAGGCAGCAAGCAGATCAGGCCTTCTTACCACATCCATGAAATGAAACTGCCTTGCGAGCGTTCACTACTTACCGAGACAGTTGTGGCCATCATGGGCTAACATGAAGCCATCATAGCACGTACACCTGTAGTTGCCGGGAATGTTGATACACTCATGGACACAACCCCCATTGTAGAAGTCATTTTCACACTCGTCAATATCTAAAACACAAGAGGAAGAAAAAGAAGCTTTTTTAAAAAAAGAATACTAAGAATACAGAAAAGTCTCTCCAACTGAGCACGGTCTTTGAATATATGCATGTTCCTAATCTTTCTATATACTCATGTTGCATATTTCATCCAACAGATCGCTCAGGGAATTACTGACTGAATATACCAGGGACATACATGCCTGAAAAGCAGCAAGTCAATGTATAGAACAGTCTTTTACAAAATAACTGTAGTATCATCACAGTAAACAATGATGTGTTGTTAAAAATAAAAAAGAAACACCTGGTTTTGGTAATTTTTTTATGTTTAAAATGTAAGTTTTGTTTTATGTCTTTAAAATAATCAAGCAGACAATGAGTTAAATCTTTGACTTTCTAGTAACAAACAACTATCTGAAACATGTTATTAATAAGACGAGAAAATTATGCCTTGTTTAAGAAAAAACTGTCTTCTCAGAACAAGGAAGATCTGGCATACTCCTGACAATACAAAAGGCTGTTAGTTCTGCACGATAAACCTTGAAAAACACCATTTCTGAAACAGCTACCACAGTTCCCTGAGCTTTTATGAAGTTACTATTGATAACTTGGTACAGTTTTGCCTGTCTTTTCCCCTTCCTCCACAAAATAAGCTCCACTATAACTTTCTGTATAATTTCACACACGGCAACAACAACAAAAAGCCCAACATTTTCTTCTGAGAAGATAGGCTAGAATTATTTTTAATTATTTTTCATATACTGGCCTGTATCTGAAAGACTACCATGAGTGATAAGAGAGATGCATTCTGCTGCTACTACAATCGATCCACTTTTGATCTTCCCTCCCTCATAGAAAAATAACTTCTTCATTCATTCTAGAAAGTGCAAACTTTCTTCTTTGTACAGACTGTATCTTGGGTTATACATGGAATGATCAGCACCACAGTCACTGCTGTGAATCATTCAGTGGTGCACATCAACCAACTAAAAATACACAAATAATTAGAGGCAGCCTCATAGCTTGATAACTATCAGCTCTAGATCTGTGGTACGCTAGACCAAAACCACCAGGTACTGTCCCTAAGTTACACAGTCCAAGATAAACGGAGAAAGTAATCTTTTTTAGAAAATCACCTGTTATTTCATTAGAGCTATCCTGGCTGTACTTTTCAAATGTGGCTTCCATTGCAGAGGTGGTTGAAATATTTCTAGTTTAGGTTCATGTTCACATATCCACTTTTGTTTTCTTTTTTTCTTTTAACTTTAAAAAGCACCCCAGGAAAAGCTTTGCTATCTGGTATCATACCCAGCCACAATCCCAAGACAGCAAGGTAGTTTGGGAAAAACAGATTCTTCTGAAAAGCCAGCTCAGACTCGGTCACTCAATGCTTTCAGCATTTCTCATCCTTGGACTGAGTCTGGGTATGTTTGTCCTTCCTTGCACAAACATCTGACAGATCAAACTTCTGAGAGCAAGGACAGACTCCTCCCAAGTTTTTTTTGCAAGCTTTCCCCCTCAGGTCTGCCTGTCCCAGAAACCTACCCTAACCTCAAATAGCCCAGGTCTCCATCAACTTCCTCCCAACAGCTCTGAAGCCCTCCTTCCACAATCTCCTCAGCAGCTTTAAACAGGAGTTACAAATTTGGCTGTATCTGCAAAACCAGGTAGCTTTTTTGTAACTCAGCATTTAACACTACAAAAATGTTGGAAATAAGCTGGAGAAAGGATCTTCCCAACAAAAATACAACCTGCTGCTTAATGGTAAACTTCCTAGTCTTTTAACTACTGCTCTATTTCAGAAAGTTCCCATCCTTTGCTAATGACTTTCATCCATTACTTGTACAAGTGCCAAGTCAGCACGGCCATGGATGTGCTCTACTTTCTGGAATGCAGTATGACAACAAAAAGATACATCTGTGATACTGTCTTCTGAAAACAATAACCATCAAGTCAATTACTGTGTATTGGGCTCATTAAGAACACACCTGCAGCATGGCAGTGCAAAGTCCCCAGGAAGCTTCCCTCCTTTATTTACAGCCCAATGTACCTGGGTGCACATTGAGAAAGCATTCCACTGAGGTTTCTACTTAGCAGGTAGTAGCAGCCTTTATAATGATTCATGAATATTTCCAGAAAATTCCTATCATTCTCAGGCTACAGGGACAAAAATAGAGCTCTCCATTAATGCCATCTTTTAACAGGCCAAGTCGATAATCAGAAAGCACATAACACGATTCTGAAGTCAGGCATGCCAGGTGCTCCTTCAGGACACTCAGAAAAAATGGTATCTTCATTTTAAGATTTGTTCTTAACTTTTATTCAGCACTGAGTTTCTTTAGAAGAGGGAATTCAGAAGAAAGTGTTATCAATTGTTACTCAGCATCAGACTGCCAAGGGCTGATCAATTTTCAATCACTTTTTTCAAACAATGAGTCAAATACCACTATTCCTTTAAATAAGCGATGGGAGAGCCTTCAAAAGAGACAAAAATCAAGGAAATGTGAAGCCTTTTGAATGCCTATCCTTTACATAATACTTATTTCTAAAAGGCTGTACTGGGACTCACAGCACAAGGTGCTATGTAATCCTACAAATACTTAAGTTCCAGGAAGGGTAACATAATAGATACATAAACCAGAAAAATAAGAAAAGAAACAGATTATTTGAATCTCCTTCTTGCAAGAAGTTCCAGTTACATTAAATTTTGCAAAAGGATTAGAAGATTACTTCTTCCTTTTCTACCCCAAGAGCTGTACATAACTAGGAGTTGAGGCAAACATTCTACCTATCATGTTGTGAGTTTGCTATTTAAGACCCTTCCCTGTCAGGCTGGCTGGAATTTCTGTCTCCAGTATTGCTAGTAAAACACAAAGGGGATAAGACTGGTGAATTAAACAATAAACCAAAAGCAAACAAAGAAACAAACCCCACCAAAAGAATGTCCAAAGCCTGCGAAGTCCAAATGTTGAACTTTTTTTAAGTTCTAGTTACATCAAGAGAAAAACAGATGACGTGCCTACAAACAACACGAATGCCACCCCATCTTCTCTTCTCATGTACCTGGAGGAGGACTTTAAAGAATGCCTCAGTGAAGTGTTGGACAACAATAACTTATGGGCAGGATATTACATCTGACACAGCAGGATATGGCTTCCTTAGTAAGCCTAATATAGCGACAAAATCAACAGGATTACATGCAAACACATAAAACCTGGAGGCTTGCTCTTATCTATTCTAAAACTGAAAATTTGCAGGGACCAGCTATTTTATTTCTTTTGGTTAGGTCATATTCTATTATTCCTTTTTTCCTGTAATTGATAGAATTGGGTGTTAAACCAACTCTTGGTTCCAAACACCTCTAACTCACAAAGTTAATTGTTCCCACTAAGTTTGTAGCTTCAACTATCTTTAACATTTTTGTGTTTGATCACTTAATACTGCCTTTCACCATAAAGAAATTACCATAACACAAAAATGAAACCAGAAACAGAGAAATGTTGCCATATGACCATGAAATTGCTATACTGGATGCAGGTGCATACACTATTGAATTAGCAAGGCTCACTGTAACCCAGCTCTCAAAGGGAAACCCAAAGTTTTATCTGCACTGGCAAAATATTTATGAATTTTTCACTGCAGAACATTCTGGCTGTGCAGACAGGCAACTCTTGGGGTGTCTAGTCAAGAAAACACCTTAAAAAAGGATTGCAATTTCTTCGTAAGAGAAACTAATTAATATGGTATTACAATGGCAGCAGTTGCAGGATCCCTGGAAAAAAAATAAATGCAGCAAAATTATTAAGACATTTATAATAATGACAGTCTGTCAAGAACCTATTTGGGCTTACTGTGTTGAAATGATACGGCATCTCCCAATGCCAGAGCTCGATGCACACAACCACATCTTCAGCTGTTGGGGAGCTAGTTTTTGACCATCTCTTTCTGAAACTGGTGTGGGAAACCTCCAAAATCCACTGCTTCTTTGAAAAGTTTTAAAGGAAAAAATTATCAGGAAAAAAGGAGATAAAAAGAAGCTTGCTTACTTGCGTGTACAAGTAACTGTACTGGTTCAGCTATTTCCCAAGGTGAAAGAAGCCTGGAAACTACATCATAATTCCTTCTGGAAAGCACAGGTAAATCTTTCTGTTACAGCCTGGAAATAAATCTTTCAGCAACCCTAGGGAACACAGCATTGCCATGCCCTGCTCTTGTCCTCTTCAATGAGCAGTGGTATTACTTAGAGTACATACTATATGAGACTAGAATTATTATATAAGCATCCAAGGACTTTTTTTAAAGACAGACAAGTGACTGAGGAAATCTTAGCATTTGTTACCATGAGGAAATGCTGAAATTTACAATCACTGTATTCCAGTTATCGGAAAAGAATATGAAGTTGTCTTCTTTAACTGACCTAATTCTTTGTAGTCTGAGGGGACCTGTATCTACGTTATGCAGACTAGGGCTGATGATTCTTTCATTATTACAGGCGAAACTGACACTATCACAGAAATTTGTTTCATTTGTGTATTCTGCAATAAAGAGATGGCACTCTCAGAAGTCTCACAAGGCCACGGTGCAGAGAAGCAGCTCTTCCAGGTACAACTTAACTAAGAAATGCTCAAAATAAACCAAAAATTGATCTCCTCGTCTTCCAGTATCACAGTATTCCAGCTTTCTGTTTCAGCAGGGAATAGAACACACATCAGCATGCAATAACTAATGTCCAGAAGACAAATCAAACTGTAAAACAGAAGAAAATGCTAGTTTCCACTTTGTGGAAATGTCTAAATGTGAATATGTCTAAACATATTCCTCAGGGTCATGAAATTTGCTGTGTGATAACCATCTTTTCCAAGCATTAATAATCTTTGCTTCTAGAAGGTGGCATAGACTTTATGTCAGGAAAGCACAAAATCTACCTCCACCAAAATCGATTATACCAGTTTCCATTTATTAAGTTCCTGAATGTCCAAAAATCATTACAACACCTGTAACAAAATTTATTTG